CGGCTGCCAGACAATTGGAGCTGCTCTGCACCAGGCTTCCCCAATTCAGCTGCTGCTGAAACTGACCAGCAGCTGAATCGGGGAGTCCAGGGGCAGAGTAGCTGGGGTGCTGCCAGGTTGGTCCCATAGCACTGCCCCTCGGGGCTGCAGGACCAACCCGGAAGCACCCCAGCTGCTCTTGGGGACTCCTGGGGCAGAGCAGCTGGGGTGCTGCTGGATTGGTACCGCAGCGCCGCTCCTTGGCGCTTAGCCGCTGCTGAAACTGACCAGCGGCTGACTCTGGGCACTCCAGCTGCTCTGCCCTGGTTTCCCTGAGTCAGCCGCTGGTCAGTTTCAGCAACGGCTGACTTGGGGACACCTGGGGCAGAACAGCTGGGGGGCTGCCAGGTTGGTCCAGTAGTGCCGAGGAGCGGCGCTGCGGGACCAACCCAGCAGCACCTCAGCTGCTCTGCCCCAGGCATCCCCGATTCAGCCGCTGCTGAAACTGACCAGCAGCAGCTGAATGGGGGACGCCTGGGGCAGAGCCGGACTATCGGAAAGGGGGGCTATGAGGGGTCTGGGGTGGCATCCCCCCCCACACTACGCCAGATCCCTGATAGCCCCCCCTTCCAATAGTCTGGCATATTTGATAATCCGGCACCCCCAGGGTCCTATAGGTGCCATATTATCAGAAGTTTACTGTACTGTGTTATATCTTTCTCTGCTAGATTGAAGAACCAATTATTAAATATTTGTCCCCCATGTAGGTGTAAGTATTTCATAATTGGCTCTTCAATCTAGCAGAGAAAGATATAAAACAATACAATAGGTGCAAATCAAAGTGAGACAAGTTCAGACTGGAAATGAGGCATACATTTTTAACCGTGAGAGTAATTAATCACTGCAATAACTTACCATGGATTGCGGTACAAACATCACCACCAGCAATTTTTATATCAAGACTAGATGTTTTTCTAAAAAGAATGCTGTAGAATTATTTTGGAGAGTATCTATGGCCTGTATCACACAGGAGGTTAGATAAGACTGTCACAATGATCCTTTCTAGCCTTAGAATCTTGAAATTAGAGATGTGAATGGTTAGCTGGTAAGCATTACCCTTACCAGGTGATACTTACTGGTTATGGTTAACTGGTAGCCCAGCAGGACTCACTACAGATGGGGATCAATCCAGGCTCTCTTCCCCTCTCCGCCCCCTCTTTTAAGCAGATAACTGGTTACATATCGTGTTTATCCGATTAACTGATTAAACAGGATTTTAAATCTCTACTTGAAATCTAAATAATGTACACTTAACTGTTGCAGGGCATTTTTTCTATTAAATCTGTGCTGCAGATATTTTAAAATGTATTTAATGTTTGCAAAGCACTATATAATTTATAAGTGCTGTGTTCCGTAGGGATATTAAATATCGGGTAATTGAATAGTCGTGTAACCACATGAAATCTCTGCGGTTACATGACTATTCGATAGTCCCCAGGGGTGGGACTGGCAGCCAGTGCATTCCCAGCTCCACTCCTGGGGAGCCCCTTGCCATCCCGTACTGCTGCTTCTGATACTGAGGCAGCAGCACAGGGTACTGGGAGAGCCGGTACATGGGGGGAGCCATTTTAAAAACCAGCTGCCCAGACTGGCTGCCTTCTGCCTTGCACTGCTGCCTCTTTTAGAGGCAGCAGCACAGGGTGGCAGCAGCCCCTTTCGGTGGGGCGTTCAAGCTCCCCACAGACCGGGGCTGCGCCACATCCCACAGAGTATCCTCTGTGCGCAGGGAGCTCGGATCCCCTACGGACAGGGGCTGCTGTCGCAAAGCAGGCTCACCGTGGACAGAGGCTGTTTCATGGCAGCCTCCACTGCTCCCACCCTCTCCACTGCCCCGATAGAGGCAGCAGTGTGGGGTGGGGCAGGTTGCACCGCAGAGCTCCCCACCCTTGCTGCCTCTGATACCGAGGCAGCCGGGGGAGAGAGAGGGGACACAAATGCATAAAGATAAGTCGAGAAGATTGACCAATAAGCTTAGGCTTATTGGTTAATCACATAATCAATTACACTTAGACATCCCTAGTACATGACTATCTAAATTGTATCCACATATAATTCATTTTATAAAGCAGAATCTAGTATCTGCTTAAGGAGAGAGAGATACTATACCAGGATCACCTATAGAATTATATTTTTAGAACAGCATCTATAAAAAGCATCATGAATGCTGGCAATGTTAAAGAAATGAAGGAGCAACACTAACAATAAAACGTGGGTCTGTTCTGGCAAAGCAGAGGGAGCAGAGGGTGCTCACTGACAGTATGATAATGATATTATCATAATTAATAGAAAACTGTTTAAGAACATGAATGCCAATTATGCCCTAGAAGTGTTTTTATTCCTTTGATTAAATGTAAATAACTATGGATAACTGAAGGAACAATGATGCTTCTTAAAAAAAAAAAAAAATCAAGATGAATCATCTACATAGCACTTACAAACATCTCCTTCAGACTCCATCACCATATTATGCTTGGTTCTAAAGTTATGTTTTGTTTTCTTAGCAAAATAATTTATAGTTTTAAATTTCCCATCCTAAATTTATTTAAGATAAGCTACTATTAAAGTTCCCCATTTTTAAAACAGCCTGAAAATTTTAGGGGATTTCTTATTGCAAATAAAGATACAAAATATTTCTGACACTTACAGCTTTTCTCTCCAGTTAGAAGTCTTTGGCAATGGCTTCTCTATTAAATGGATTATGAGCAGTATGAAGTGATCAGTGAGAAAACCTGGAGCTATATTAATTTTAGTAACCGTACATAGTATTTGTAGATAACTCTGCTTTGTTGATAAGATTTTAATCAGTAAATCAAATTGAAACCCAAAGCGCAAAAAAACCTGGTAATCTTCATTGGGGTAGCATTCTTCACTTTACAACTCAAATTGGAAAATATTATAACTATTAACATGAATTCTGATGATGTACCTTGAAATATCACCAAGAGATATAATAAAAATCAATAGAATAAGCTTCAACCTCAAAGCGATTCAGTGTTACTATAGGGCCTCCTTAGTAAATACTTTTAAACATAAAACCCCTTGGATATAAAAGCATGCTAAAAAATGAACTTGTTACTAGTCATTAATCTAAGATTTATATTAGCGTAGATTTTAACAAATACATGCAATCTGAAGTGATATTGTTTTACCGCTGAAATACTGCACACAAATCATTACATATATATACACACATTACTCACTTACTCAAAGCAGTCCATTTGCTTCACAAAAAGTATCACAGTTCCCATTCAAACTGAGTTTGTTTGTTTTTAATTTTACACTTATTATTTAGTCTTCAAGTTCTTGTCTTGTTATATTAACAGGAACCCTTCCCATAAACACTGCACTGCACCTTCTCTACAAAGGAACTTACATGTCAATGAGATAAAAGGATAAGTAGATCAGAAGCTTAAAAATGCCAGTTTGCCTTCATGACCAATAAAAATCAAATGCTCCAGGTGTCAAAAGGAACTGTCACTTGCCTCCCCCACCACACACATAACATGTGGCAAAATTTAACTATATATATTTTTAGAAGAATTAGGTTTCCATCCCTTCCCTGAAGGAAGGGGGACTTAAATGACAAACCAGAATATGAACAGGAACTATGGAGGGGACTCATGCCTTACAAATGTTTGTATACCAAGCACATTGCTGGCATTCAGATAATCAATAATCCTTTAAAAAGGAAACTTTTTACAAATATATTAAACCCCTTTCACTTAAAGGCATAACACTGCACGCCCAGACTCTTTGTGCAGCACACATACCTTTTCTCTATTTTATACAGCACCAAGAACACTAATGACATACAGGGCTTGCTTGCACTTTAAACTCTACAGCTGCACAGCTTCACTATAGACTTCAGCATAAACACTACCTACACGTCAACATAAGTAACCCAGCCCAGGTGATGGAAGAATTCTTCTGTGACTGTCTACATGGAGATTTCGAGTTGTTTAACTATACTACTCAGAGATATGGATTTCCACACTCCTGAATGACATACTTACGCTAACCTAATTTTCTAGTGTAGACTAGGCATCTGATACTTTGCATTTACATCATACTTTATGCGCTATAAAAATACCTTAAACTGCACAACACACTTGTAAGGAAAGCAAGACTCCCCAAATTATCAGGGCGAAACTGAGGCTGACAAATTACAGGAAAGGTCTACAGCCAAACACCAAAGCAGCAAGACTAGAATCTAATCTCATGCTTCTCAGCCCTTGAACCCCAATCAGCCTCCCTGTCCAATTAACATATTGCAGGAGTAAATAAGGCAAAGCCTCTACTAAGCCAGTGCACCAGGGATCCAACCCCACGACGCTTGAAAGAGACGGGGTCTTAGTGGAGCCGAAGCACAATCATGATGGGCTGGGGGAGGGGGCACTGTGATCTGTGGGCAGGTTAGACTGAGGGTCAGCCCTTGAACCCCAATCAGCCTCCCTGTCCAATTAACATATTGCAGGAGTAAATAAGGCAAAGCCTCTACTAAGCCAGTGCACCAGGGATCCAACCCCACGACGCTTGAAAGAGACGGGGTCTTAGTGGAGCCGAAGCACAATCATGATGGGCTGGGGGAGGGGGCACTGTGATCTGTGGGCAGGTTAGACTGAGGGACCCGAGCCAGGGAGGAACCGCGGCCTCTTGAATGACTAAATCCCAGCGCGGGGGCGATGGCACTTCGTAACTACAACAATGCAACACCCCAGCCCGGAGCAAGGCCGGCCAGCGGCTCCTCCAAGAATCCCCCCGCCCCCAGCTGGCAGCGACTACTCGCCGTTACCGGTTACCGAGGGGATTAACGATGGCGACGGGACGAGAGGGCCCCGCCTCCGCGTCGGGAGCCGCTGGCTGCTGCCTGGGCTGGCAGCCGGGGGAGGCTCGGCCCCGGGGAGAGCCGTACAGCAGGGGATGGGAGGGGGCTGCTCCTCCCGGCTCCGGGGGGCTCTTACCTCTGCTAACATTATTGCCCCGCTGCGGACTCCCCCGGCGCTAGCCCCGCTGCATGGTGCCGCAGCAGCCCGGAAAGACCCCGCTGCGCGGCGGGCGCTGCCGGCTCCCTGCCGCCCGCCTCAGCGGCTGCTTGTTGCCCTCAACCCCGCCGCCGCCGCAGCAGCAGCAGCTCGCTCCGAGGCGGCCATCTTGGGCGGGCTACGTGAGCCGCCGGCGCCAGCGCGCCCGCCCATTGGGGCCGTAGGATACGAGGAGCCGCGCCCCCACCTGGCCTGTCTCCCGGGCTCTGCGCTTCGCCGCGCTCCCTACCTGAGGCCTGGGCGCCAGGTGCCTAGAGCCGTCACCAGAGGGTCGCTCCAGTCCGGGGGGTGGGGCAGGGCAACGGTGAGTGACTGGGGCAAGGGCAGGAGGACCCAGTTTGCAGACAAGGCCTGCGCTGGCAAATGCACCTCACTGAGCAGCGCCGTGGGAGCCCCAGCCAGGCCACCAGGGGTTGGCTACAAACAGCTCCGTGGATGATGATGGCGTGCGCGGGGCTTGCAATGTCACCCGTGTCCGGGGCTGAGTTAGCAGGGGCTGGCTGTCGCTACAGAAAGCTGGTCTCTGTTTTTCTACAGTTTGCAGACAAGGCCTGCGCTGGCAAATGCACCTCACTGAGCAGCGCCGTGGGAGCCCCAGCCAGGCCACCAGGGGTTGGCTACAAACAGCTCCGTGGATGATGATGGCGTGCGCGGGGCTTGCAATGTCACCCGTGTCCGGGGCTGAGTTAGCAGGGGCTGGCTGTCGCTACAGAAAGCTGGTCTCTGTTTTTCTAGCTGGCT